GTAGCTCCAGGAAACAAAGGCAAACACATACCATGTGTCAGAAACTATGCTGGACATTGTAGACACAGGTGAACAATAGACAGGAGACCTAAAGGGACTTGATGATTGCCTGATTGTGGGGAGTAAGGACATGGAAGGTGCCTAGAGATAGACCTAGGTCTCTGGCTTAGGTACTTGACTGGTGGATGCATCATTCATTGAGACAGACTGAGGCGGTATACCACATAAGGAAAGCTTTGAGGATGTTGACTTTGAGATGATTGTGAGAAACCTAAGTGACATTGTTCAGGCTGTTGGGATCACAGGTTTAAAGTTCCTAAGAGGCATGTATGTTTGGAAACTGATAGGAAAATAAAGCAAGAAGAGGAGATAAGGATTACCCAGGAGAGAAGGGGGGTGATATGAGATGAGAGGACGTTCTGGGAAAGAACTTAAAGACACCAACGTAGCTTTCTTTTAACCTTTTATTTTGACATAATTTCAGACTTGCAGAAAAGTGCCAAGATGATTGCAAGTAGTTCCCATAAACTTTTTACCAAGATTCCCAAAATGTGACTATTTGTATGAAAAGTTTCTTTTCTTTCCATGTACAGGCATACCTCTGAGATATTGTGGGTTTGGTTTCAACTTACTTGAATTAAGTGAGAATAGCAATAAAGTGAGTCACATGGATTTTTTTGTTTTTGTTTTTTACAGTGCATATAAACGTGTTTGCACCATGCTGTCATCTATAAGTATGCAATAGCAGTACGAAAAAGTTTGAAATATTGCAAGAATTGCCCAAGTGTGACACAAAGACATAAAGTGAGAATATGTTATTGGAAAATGGCCCTATAGACTTGCTAGGAGCCATGTTACACAAACCTTCAAGTTGTGAAAAAAATGCAATATATCCATACAATGAACTAAAACAAACTGCAACAAATGAGGTACACCTGTATATACACACTTTTTATTTCAGAACCATTTGAGAGTAAATTGCAGACATGTTCTCTTTTATCCTTAAATGCTTCAATGTGCACTTTCGATCTATGCATTTCCTAAGAATAAGGCCTTTCATAATCATGGTACAGTTATTAACCCACCAGGAAATTAACAATGGTCAATACTTTGAACTAAGTCACAGACTTTTTCAGGTTTTGCCAATTTCCTGAATAATAGCCTCTATAACAAAAGAAAATCGTGGCTCTCGTGTTATATTTAGTTGTCAAATCTCTTTAGTTTCTTTTTGTCTGGAATATTTCTTCAGTGTTTCTTTGTCATTCATGATAATTCATGATTGTTGTTGTTGTGATGTGCCGTGGAGTCGGTTCCGACTCATAGTGACCCTGTACAGGGTTTCTGAAGCTGCAAATCTTTACAGGAGCAGAAAGCCTCATCTTTCTCCTACGGAAGAGCTGGTAGTTTCAAACTGCTGACTGTGAGATTAGCAGCCCGATTCGTATCCACTACGCTACCAGAGCTCCTTAATTCAAGATTAGTTATTTGTAAAACACCTTGATTTGAGTTAGTCTGATGTTCTGCCATTATTCAATTCAGGCTAGCTAATGCATCTTCGGAGTCCTGGTGTGACACTGGAGAATATAACACTGGGCCTCAAGGTTGGTTTCAACCACAAGGTTGGTGGTTCAAACTCATCAGCTGGTCCTTGGAAACCCTATACAAAGTCACTATGAGTCGGGATTGACTCAGTGGTACTTAACAACAACAACAACAATGCATCTTTGGTAGGAAGAGCCCAGAGGTAATGTTATGTCCTTTTGGGTGTGTGTATTCAATCAGGAGGCACATAAAACTGATTTGTTTTGTCCCTTTGTTAACATGTTAAAATAACACATCAGTTGGTTGATGTGTTAGTAGCCTGCCAGCCTCCTCCACTGTCAAGTTGCTGGTTTTTCCTTTGTTACTAATGAGCAGACGTACACCAACATGTAAAGGCAGGTGGAGGAAGGTGAGCCAGGGAGAAAGCCTGGGGAAGAGCAACCAGAGGGGTGGGGGGAAAACCAGGATTGTTCATCTGCTCTGATTCAGTACTGCCAAGAAGACGATGAAATTCAGAAGATGACGAAATGTGTTCATTGGATGCAGCTGGTGCCCATAGGTCATTGGGGATGTAAGAATAGTTTAAGGGGCGAGATGGACCTAAAGCTGGCCTGTAGTGAGTTAAAGTAAGAAAGGGAGACAAAAAGGAATTTGTCTATGGTCTGGGGGAGGGAGAAAGAGAGATGTGCAGGACCAGGGAGATGGTGTTCATAGATGGAAGGGACATAAAGATATCCAGAGTTGGATAGGAGGGAGCCAGCTGAGAGACTGAAGTCCAGGGCCCTTCAGGGCAATCGATTTGGAAAGGCTCTTGAGGAATCAGAAAGTGATGGAGAAGGGCTTGGTGGGTCCTCCCAATCTCTGGAGGGAACAAGAGCAGATGACAGCAGAAATTGGTGCCTCTGTGAGAGATTGGGAGAGTTCGAGTCAGACCCCAATGTGATAGCCTCTGTTTTCTCTGCTGGGAAGGCAGTCAGATACAGAAGGTGATTGAACAATGTTTGATATAATCCCTGGCGAGAGGGAGAGAGCAGGCTGACCAGATGGGGAGGTAACTGCTGAGTGGGGCAGAGAGAAAGCCCAGGGTTCTCAGCCATGCAAGCAGACAAAGCAGAGCTGGGTGATTCAGGGCTGGGATGTACCAGGAAAGAAGCTAGACAAGGAGAGATGTGAAGGGTGAGGAGAAAGTGCAGCATCAGCAAATGAGAGTAGGTACCAGAGCAAGAGAAGTAAAGAACAGGAAATAGATCCAGAGGGAGATGGAGTAGGAACCCAGGATGTGCTGAGAGGGAGTTATGCTAGCTGCTGTTGTCGGCCCTGACTCATGACAACTCCACGCACAACAGCCTCAGACTGGTATGACCCAAAGCCACTGGCTGCTTTTCAGAAGTAGATCACCTCATAGACTTTTCTTCCTAGCCTGAATACTCCACTGAAACTTATTCAGCAACACGCAAGCCTCCACGGATGGATGGTGGCTGAACATAAGGCTGGGAATCAAGCCGGGACTCTGCTAGAAGATGAGCATTTTACCATTGACCCACTACTGAGGGGAGGGGAGCTATCTGGAGGAGGTTTGGGGACTGGGAGGCCAGGGAATCAGTGAGTGGCCCCTGGAGAGGCTGTTAAGCCACCAGGGTCATTGGGGGACAAGACCATGAGCCAGGGCCCCCAGTGTTTAGGTGAGAGACAGGTGGTAGTCATGAAGAGGTGAAGAGGGGCATGGTGGGATGCTCAGAGAAGGGGTGCTTTTGATGGGAGGACACTGCCTAGGACCCACTCTACCTTGGACTCTGAATTATGAGGGCATGCGAGTGATGGAACAGCCAGCTTGGGAGAGGTCTGAGGGCTTTCCTCAGGGCTGAGCCAGGTCTTCATTAAAGCTGGAGGGAAGGGAACATTGCTGAGGTGTAGAGGTGCCTCAGTATTACAGGAGAACCGTGCACAAAGACAGTGCAGGGAAGGAGCCAGGATGAAACATCTGGAGAGCATACAGGCCAGAAAGTTGGAGCTCTCTGCCCCAAATCTGACCCTGATCAGTACTGGGGGACCATCAAGGCTCAGGTTAGGACACCCACCGTTTTCTTAGAATCAGAGGCTTGTCTGCCCTGTGGTTGGGGAGCATGGGGAGGGCCTACTCCCTCTGGGTCGGCTCCCCTCTCTTCTGAGATATTTAGTTCCCAAAAAAGGTTTCTAGGGACCCCCTCCCCCCACTCGACTGCTTGGCTGTGCTGCATCCTCATTGCGCCTGCTGGTTGGAATGACTCCAGAGCATGGTTAGGTTTTCGTTAATGCAGAGGCTGTGGGGGGAGGCAGCTCTGGATTGAAGCAGGCAGTTGTGCCCTGGTTCCATCTTGGCACCTGAGGTAATAGAAGACTCAGGGCGAGTCCTTGTTCCTTTCTGCACCTCAGTTTTCCTCTCTATAACCAGCAGGCATCAGCTCCCCAAGAAGGAAGCCCTTCTTATTTGAGATCAAATCCTGAACCTGAATTATAAGCTGGGGCTGTACAAATAGTAAAGGGGTCTCCATGCCCTCAGCTTTGGGTCTTATTCATTAACCAGGGTTGGACACCTTCCGTATTCCTCAATGTTTCCTTCTCACTTCCTCTTCCCCAGAGGATGTTCTTAGTCACAGACATGGAAAGTGGCCTTTTGTGGCTTCAGTGCTATCCCTCCATCTTGCCTTCCATTCTCTGCTTGAAATGCCACAAGCAGACATGTGTTCCCTGAGTTAGATATGGATCGGAACCTGGGATGGTGCTATCAGACAGTCACATCTTAGTATGAAATGGTCACATTGCTCCTTCACAAGGAAAAGCAGACTTTGAGCGAAGAGACAGTATGTTGAAACCCTGGGGAGATGGATGGGAGAGACAGAGGACTAGAGAGGCCCCAAACAGGCTGTGCAGCATGCAGCTTCAGAAAACCCTCCATGGCCCACCCACATTCCCATCCCTTTTCCCAACCTGACAGCACACACAACAGGTCAAATACTGAATCTGTCTGTCACTCCATCTCTTCCTGTCCCTTCCTGTCCAAGGGTCCTAAGGATCCTCAGGCTGCATAGCTAGCTAGGGATGGGGGTGGGCAGCCAGCTTGAGTCTCGGTGTTCCACCAATGAGCTGCCAGCATAGAATTTTTACGACACAGCTCAGGCGCCACGGCAACTGGGAGAAATAAACACTGTGGAGTTCACAGTCCAAGTTCCGATGTGATGTCATCCCCTTGCTCCAGCCTGCTGGGCCCCACAGCTGGCTGTACCCCAGACAGACTCAGCTGCTCCAGCCAGAGTACTGACTTCCTTCCCAGCCCCTGTGCAGTGCTTGAGGTGGACAGAGAGAGTGGATGGAGGGGCCCTGGGGTAGGGGGTCTCTGCACAGACCCCACCTAGGCCCAGCTCTTTAAGTGCTTCTATAATGTCTCAGTAACTGTTATTGCCTCTTCCCTGGCCCCAGCCATGAAACTACCCCAGGGGGACAAAAAGTCTGTGTTGTATGGTCAGCACCCAGAGAAAAAGGTGCAGCCACGTTACTGGCAAGAAGTAAAGCAGACTCCTACCATCGCGGCCATGATCAAAGGTGAGAGCTCTTTGAGCTTGGACACATTCTCCCCTCTGCAGGGCTGCCAAGGTCAATTCAGCTAGCCACTCCTACCTCCTGAAAAGTCCCATCAGATTCTCCTAGAAGTCTACTGAAGACCCAGGCCTCCAAGCTGAGCTCACAAACACCAGAGGCTGCTGGGAGTTTCCAGGGAGGTAGGGGAGGGCAGGAGCTTGGGGCAGGCAAGAGACCAGTTTTGGGAAAAGGCTAGGGACCTCAGTGGAGTTTTAGCCTAGCTTTAACTTTCTTCACTTCCCTTGAATCTTGGACAAATTCTTACTATGTTGTTAAAGACTGAAGATTGCTCCAAGTAGGAGGTGACAATATAGCAGTTTGGATTCTACAGACTGTCACAGAATTTGCACCTTACCAGCTTGTGTGATTTGGAGGACATTGATATTTCTAAGCTTCAGTTTTCTCACCTGTCAGATGAGAAAAACAATAGTATCTACTTGTTGTTCAGAGGCTTAAATGAAATTGTTGTTGTTGCTATGTGCTGTTGAGTTGGTTCTGATCCATAGTGACCCTGTATAGGGTTTCAGAAGAACAACTAGTGACCATGTAGTCCAGCGCATTAACCCACAGCGCCATACTAGGGCTCCGATAACCCATATAAAATGTGCCTGCTGGGCACAGAGTAAGTTCTTGAATAATTGTAATTATTACCTTTATTGAGCCCAGGATAAAATCAGCAGCAGCTCTTGGGAACCCTATGCCAGTTTGCTATGAGTCAGAAGAGATTTGACAGGATACAAAAACAACAACAGCATTACTGCTATTGTTGTTGTTGTTGTTGAAGTGCCGTTGAGTCGGTTCCGACCCATAGTGATCCTGTATAGGGTTTCCGAGGAGCAGCTGGTGAGCTTGAACCACCAACCTTGTAGTTCAAATGGTTTTGCAGTCTGGCTCATTAACCCACAGCACCACACCAGGACTCCCTCTGAATAGTGAAAATGACAGCTACTAACTGAAAGGTTAGTGGTTCGAACCCACCCAGAAGCATCTTGAAAGACAGACCTGGCAATTTGTTTCTGAAAAGGTTGTTAAATGTCATTGAGTGTCTTCTGACTCCTCGTGATCCTGTATAGGGTTTCCAGGGAGGGGTTGGTGAGTTTGAACCTTCGACCTTGTGCTTCAAACGGTCATTGAAGCTAAGTCCTAATCCTATGATGCTGTACCATGAAGACTCTATACAGCCCAGTTCTATTCTGCAACACACGGGGTCACCACGAATAACCATCAACTCAACAGCAAGTTCTCTTTCTTTTTAAATTGTCTTTATTATGTGGGCAGTGGTGGTTCAATGTTGAAATTCTTGCCTTCCATGCCAGAGATCCAGATTCAATTCCCAGCCAATGCTCCCCAAATGCAGCCACTACCGGTCATAAATTTGCATGTTGCTATGATGCTGAATAGTGGCGCTTCCAGATTAAGATGGATTAGGAAGAAAGGCCTGACAATTGACTTCTGAAAACAGCCTATGAAAATGCTCTGGATCACAACGGTCCAGTCCATAACTGATCATGGGGTGTCATGGGATCAGGCAGCATTTCGGGGTCGCTGTGAGTTGGGGACTGGCTTGATGGTAGCCAACAACAACAACATCACCTTTATGATTATGATTAGACACTGCCTGCATTTTATCTGGGAACAGTCTTTCTCTAAAGGAAGGAGCTCCAGAGTTAGGCTCTGGTGGCAGTGCACATCCATGGGAGGAAAGCTCCCCAGTGTTCTTATGGTGCATGGTGTCTGGGGCTGCCCTGCTTCCAATCCGGTGGATGCAAGCTGAAAGCTGTCCTGTCCACTCTCCCAGGTCCCGGGCCTGCCAAGTACCTCCTACCATCCTGCATAGGCTACCGAGACCACGACATCTCCATGTTCCAGGAGCCGGCCTACACTCTTCATACCCGACACTCGGAGAAGTGTGAGTGGTTGCCCACCCACCCTCCCCTCAGAGGTGATTGGGGCACAGTGAGAGGCATGAAGCCTTTCTCTGTAGCCATAGGCCCCAGAATCTGAGGTTTGTTTCATGTGGGATGCTTAAGTGGGCCCTTGGGCCCAGAAGGAAACCAGTAGAGATGCTCAAGTGACCTGTCCCCCCAAAGAAATCTCTGTGGTCATATCCCAGCAGATCTCCCCAAGGGAGCTTCAAAGGGATACTGTCACCATCTTCAACTCTGGTCTTCATGTCCTGCTAGCTTCACTTGTCACAGTGGCTGGATAGACATAGCTGTGGGTTATAGGGAGGGACAAGCCCTCAGAGCTCCCAGATGGCCTTGAACCCCAGGAGTGGGGTGGGGTTGGGGAGCAGGGGCTGCTATCCAAGGTTAGGAGGAGCAGAGGCTGGGCAGGGATGTGGAGCTGGGGGCCTGAGATCTCAGGCCCCTCCCTGGAGAGATACACCCTATTCAGCAGGGACTGACTCCTTCCTAATACTAATCCATAGCGGCTATTATCATTCCTTGGCACCAGTCCCTGTTGGGGTGGACGGCTGACTGGGCAGCTGAGCAGCTGTTTTATCTGTCTCTTGCTGACCAATTTCTTGAGAAGGGCAGGCCATGTGTCAAAAGGTCCATTTTGCAGAGGGCAATACCCAAGAGCCCTTGCTCCTGTCTGGCTGGGATGGGGATCACACTGGGGTAGTGGTAGTTTTCCTGATCAGCCCTCTCCTTGGCAGATGTGTGCAACCCCGGGCCTTGCTATTTCTTGGATCCCAAAATAACCAGGTTTGGAATGTCCAGCTGCCCGCAGGTTCCCATGGAGGAGCGCATCTCCAACCTGCGTAAGATGGGGTTGGAGCTGGGGTTGGAGGTGGGGAAAATGGGGGAGCTGTGGTTCACTCTTAGGACCTGAGGGAGGGGCAAAGGGTCATGATCCAATGTAGCTGTGGATGCTGCCATCTTTCTGCAATGTCCTGTCAGGACACCAATGTCACGATATTGACATTTATGTCTTTAAGCCAATGCTGTCTACTCACAGGGTCTCCATGAGATGGAATCAACTCCCCAGCAACAGGTCTGGTTGTTTTTAACAAGGGTGATGTGAGGAAAATGGCATGGGCTTATGGTACACAATGACAATGACAATGTCATGGGCTGTAGTGATCTCTGGATGTTCTCATCACAGGGACAATGTCAGAACCCTAGAGCCTTGTGGTTCACACATATGACAAGATGGCTAAGTCACTGTAGTCTCATGCCCCTGCCTGGGGCTGAGGTGCTTATACTGAAACCACACCAGGTTAACCCAGACCTCTGCGCCTTACCTGGGTCCAATAGCTGAATACCAGGGGTGTGGCCTGGCCTCCCCCCTGAGAATTTGTCCTTTATCCCTTCTAGGTCTGAGTCCCACCCCAGCCTCCTGCCAGTACAGCACTGAGAAAGTCCACCCTCCTGGGGAGCGCAGGGCTCCCCAGTATACTTTCGGCTACCGATGTCCATACAGACTGATGGACCCCAACCCGGCCCCCAATCAGTACGAGTTACCACTCCTGATAGGGCCCAACACCCCTGTCAGCCGAGCTGCCCCCTGCTATAGCCTGGCTTCCCGGGTCAAGAACTGGTTCTACAAGGAGGACTTGGCAGGCGGCCCAGGACCGGCCATGTATGCACAGCCTGAACCGTCCATCTACCAGCACCGCAGCCCCGCCTACAGCATGGCCAAGCGCTTCGCCTATTCCATGGACCACACTCCCCGGCCCGGCCCCGGCTCTCATGATGTCCAGCAGGTCACCGTACACAAGCCCCACACTCCTGCTTTCTCCATGGGCACCAAGCACTCACCCCACCTGTGCCCATTGGTCATCCACATTCGTGACTGAGCCCCCGAACCTACATTCACCCTGCCCTGCCCCATCCACAGAACTAATTTTTCTATACACAGCAGGGTAACTTCTTGACCAAGGCTTCGAGTGTCCTGAAATGTTTTTATTTATAAATCCCTTGGTTTTTCAAATACCCATGACTGTTTCTTCTGGGCTCTGTCCTAGGTGAGAGGCAGGGTACTAGGAAGCATTGCAGGGGGGTCCCTGGCTGGACTTAAGGAACTTTCATTGTAGGAGGCAGCAACATGCCCTTCAAAAAGCCCTATGCAGAGAATCTGGAGAGCCGAGTTCTAGTCCTACCCTGCTGTTAACACTATGTGACCTTGTATAGCTCCTGTCCCTCTCTGGGGCTCTAGGTGGCCCTCTGGACCATGATTGGGGTGGCTTGGAAGATGCTCAAGTTATTCTCTGACTCCAGAACTGTGTGACTTTGATACTGGACAGTAGTCAGTGTCCAAGCAGGGCAACTGGGAGGGTCCATTTTGCTGAGGACTGGGTGGGAGAATTGTGGGAGGAGGCTCCTAGGACAGGAACCAAAGAATAAATGGAAATGGTGTGTAGGGGAGGGTCTTGCTTGTGGAGGTGACAGGGGAGCCAAGGCATGCCTGTAGGGCCACAGCGTGCAGGGACAGAGCTTGGTTGGGAGAGCACAGGTGACAAGAACCAGGGTGCCAAAAGCTGGGGTCAGATCATGGCGGCCTGGAGAGAACTTGGGCTTTATCCTGAGGTTGCAGGGCTACATGAGACCCGTGTTTTTAGTGTTTCAGTGTTTGGAGCATGGGGAGGAGTTTGGACAGGACTGGGCTGAACCTGAGGAGGAGGTTAAGGAACTAGAATAGGGTCAGGTCTCTGGAAGAGGGCTCTGTGTGTCACATGCTGTCTTTGGAGAGTGGCTTGTATGTCCCCCTGTTTGTCCTCCAGCTCTGTGGCTTAGCCTGGCAGTACTTGTTAGAGGGGGAGCAGAAGACTAGCCAGCAGGGGGCAGCATTGCCCCACTCCTCAGGTTGAGAGGGATCAGGAACCTCCCCCCTTCACCACTATCTCCTTTCAGCTTCCAAGCGTTGGAGGATACAGACACTCCTCTGCAGGGAGAGTGTTGGGGTCTGTGTGACTGGCATTTGCTCTTCCTTAACTCTTGGCATCCTTATCCCCAACTCCATGTTCCCTGGGCCATGGAACGGTGGGAAGGGAGATGGGGAAAGGGGTACATTTGATGACACACCTGAGGCTGGGAAGGAGGAGAGATATAAGGAGGGAGAGTGGCTTGGGGGTGCGACCAGGGGGGCTGGAAGAGTCTGGAGACCCCATGATTCAGACAGAGGCACTTTCTTCCCCAGCCACTGCCCCAAGAATGGGGGGTGGGTAGGACAAGAAGAAATGGCCACTTAGAACCAAAATGGTGTCCCATGGCTCATTCTTATGAATTTGTGTAATATTCAGGTTTTAATTGAAAATGCAAATAGAATTAATGATTCAACTTTGGACAGAGAAAGGATCAGAGAATATCTTTGGAATATTAAAAAAACAACAACAACAAAAAAGCCCAGTAACAACAAAGCATTTAAAATAAGGGCCTTGTAGAAAATCTCCATACCTAATTCTGAACCAGGAATCCCCCGCCTTGGCCTTTAGGGCCTGGCTACTGTGTTCCCTGCTGTCCCTACTTCTCAACAAGGCTGGCCTGAGCATGCTCTCCAGAGAGCCAGTAAGCTCAGGGACCCATCTGTCTTGCAGCAGATTAGAAAGATGTCATTTTGCCTACAATGCCATTTATCACGGAGGCTGCAAAAATTAGTGATGCTTGGTCTGAAAGTGTTGGGTGGGGGTGGGGGCTGGCAGGGGCAGCAACCAATGCTCCCCCTTGTCGCCTGGTCAAGGGAGTGGCAGACCAACCTCTAAACAGGGGAACAGAGGTGCCTGGCTCAGTCTTCACGTTCTTCACTGAAAAGATGAGAAAACAAAGGTCCAGACTCTGGAAATAATTTGGCTATAGTCATGTTGTTGTTGTTGTTAAGTGCCATCGAGTCGGGTCTGACCCATGGCGACCCTGTACAGGGTTTCTGAGGGTGTAAATCTTTACGGGAGTAGAAAGCCTCATCTTTCTCCCACGGAGCAGCTGGTAGTTTCGAACCGCTGACCTTAAGGTTTGCAGCCCGATTCGTAACCACTACGCTACCAGAGCTCCTTTATGATCAGTTAATTGCCTGTTTCTAAATAAGTAAAGGTCCAAGCTCAGTAAGTGACGAGGGTTAGGGTTCAGTCTGTGCTCAGGATTGGGGCTCAGTGTAATGCCAGATCGAGGCTCAGTGTGTGGCCAGGGTCAGGGCTCAGCATGGGTTAGGGCTCAGTGTATAATTAGGGTCAGGGCTCAGTATGGGTTAAGACCTTTGACCAAAATCAGGACTAAATCTTAATGGGCTCCATGGATCAGTCTGGGACAGAACCTCAGCCTGGTTCCTGCTACCACCAGATGAGTGTAGGGTGTGGAAGCCATCCCTGGATTTAGAACTGACCCTTAGGGTAATTTTATGGTCCTTGTCATTCTTTGTGGTCCCAAGAGAAGGAGAGAAGTCTGGAAGGGTCTGGATAAATCTTTGGGGGATGCAGAGGTTCTAATGAGAGATGGATCAGCCAAGAAGGGGATGTGGTCTCCAGGGAAGATGGATGGTCTTTCCTGTGCCTCAGTCGGTAAAATGATAGGGCCATCTAGCTTGGGACCAATCTTTTGACAGCGTAGCCACTGTTGCTTGACCTTGCTCTCTTTATGATGCTGTCCCTGAGCAGGAGTCCTGCAGAGGTCAGAAGGGGATAGCTTCCCAGGCCTGGCTGAGTACTGACCTAGCCTTGGGAACAATTGATGAGGTGCAAGCTTGACCTGGCAGGAAGCCCCAGTCTGATCCTTGTAGAGCTTAAACCTGTGCCCTCAGGTAATTAAGCCCTGTAGCTAAGCACTTGGTCACGGTGGACATAAGTATTGGCTGAGGCTGTGGCTGGCCCTGGACAAGGAGTGAGGCAGGGGCTCAATCCTCCAGAAGCTTAGAGGTGGCTGGGTGAGAAGGCAAGAAGCAGTTCTCTCCAACCACGAGCAGATGTTGGAGGGTAGATGAGACTTGGGATGAACGGATGGCCACACATAGCTTTCATATTCTGACTGGGCCACAGAAGTCTGACCTACCGGTTGGGCCACCTCAGCCAGGATCTGGTGGTGAAAGTGCAGTCACATTACCAGCCCCTGACCACTGAGGGTGGGGTTGGTCTCTGCTGTCCTGCTGCTGCTGGTCAGATACATGTTCCCCACCTGAAGGCCGATTATTGCTGTGGTTCCCAGGAACTGTGGGTGGGTGGGGTGGAGACCCCTTTCTGTTGGTTTGGGGCAGGAACAAAAGAGGGGCCCTATATGCCTGTGTCCTTCAGCCCCAGAACCCATGGACTAATCATGTATAGGTAGACAGGTAGAGGTTGGACATAAGCACACATCTCACATACATGCCCATAACTTACCCTACATGCATGTGGAGATAAGACATACATATACACACTCAGAAACAAACACTACACCTTACTCTACACAGACATTCAAAATACGTGCTTCATACTATACACACAGACACACATGTATACACATACGTATATGTACATACTAATATACATGCAGACACACATGTACGTACTATATACACAGAGACACATGTGTATACACATACATAGTACCTGCACACACGTTTTACTACACATACTCCCCTCTTCCTCCCAAGCACCCCCTTATCTATCAGTCTCACTACATCCCCTTTGCCTTAAAGATTGTACAAACTGTGAGACCACTCCCCAAGACATGCAGAGAACAGTGGAAGGAAAGGTCTCAGGAAGGTGCTGGGGTGTGATTTGTGCCCCAGCCCCTGGGTCAGAGGCGTTGCTGGCTGGCTCTAAGCCCTCCCGTTTGATCCCACTTCTGGGCAGGATGAACTTGACTGGGAGGGTATCAGTTCCCCTTTTCCTGGCCCCAGCACTCTGAAATCCCAAGGACAGGAGGACCAGCTCTCCTTAAATCCCAGCAGGAGTCAGAGGGCAGTTCCACACTCACTGGGGGTGGGGAGGTCGCCTGTCCCTTCCGCCCAATTCAGCCTCTCTGGTGTCCTTCTAGTTCTCCTTAACCAGGTCCTCCCATCTGGCTCTATTCTCTCTCCACCTCTGGCTCACACTGCTGCTCCCTTCTCTCTCTCTTCCTCTAGCTCTCTCAGTCCCTCTGCCCTGTTTATCCTCTAGAATAAAGATCGACAGTTTCAATTACCCCTCAACTAACAGAGGCGTTCTTGAAGGCTTGGATGAGAGACTGTGTGTGTGTGTGTGTGCGCATGCGTGTGGGCCTATGGGTGGGTGTGGAAGGGGGTGGGGGCACCCTTGGTCCTGCTGTCCTTTGTGTGTTTTTCCTCTTCTGAAGCCTTCATTTCTTCCTGGGAGATTGTGAGCACACTTCCTTTCAAGGGAGGATGGGAGACAAAAGAGAAATAAAAAACTGTCATCGTTGTCTTGTAAACACAGTGTGTAGCACTGAGGAGGCTCAGCAGGAGAGAGGGACAAGGGAGAGGCAGGGACAGAGAAATGGGGGCTGAGACTCTGCAAAAGAGAGGGAGGGAGGTGGGGAGAAGAGGTGAGCAGGCTGGAGAAAGGCCTGGGATGGGCGTTGGCACCAGGCAGGGTGCCAAGGGGAGGAGAAAATCAAACAGTTGAGCTTAGGCCTCCGAATTGATCCAGGGCTGTGGAAGGGATTGGAGAAGGGAGATTCCAGCAGGATCTCCTTTCTTTCAATCAGAGCCCTGGAGGAGAAGAGGGCAGCTCTGATCCTCTGAATACTCCCCTTGTGTTAGGCTCGGGGGACACCAAGGTCAGATATCATTGGTCTGTTCTTACCGGGCATAAACTCTACCAAAAAGCAAGTGTGTTCAGCATTTGCCTTATGCCCGGCACTTACATGAACTTACGATCAAAGAAGGTTGGCA